TTCACATCATCATTCACATCTGTTACCTTCCGTACTCACACTGACTTTCGCCTAGTTCTGACCTTCATTATCTCCCCTGGACTATTGCAGTGTCCTCCTAATTGGTCTCTCTTGGTTCTGATCTCTCATCTGCAGTCCATCTTCGCATAGCTACAAAATTGATATTCCTAAAACATAGATCTGGTCATGTCACTCACCTGCTTAAGAAGTTTCCTGGGTAATTTACAAATTCCTTTGTTTGGCGTTTAAGCTCTCTAGTTCCAAACTGTCTTTCCAGACCAACTTCCCATTACTGTGTTTTAGCTTTTACTATTCTGTGTTCAACTAAACTGGCCAATGTGCTGTTTCCTATACAGGACATGCTGTCTCCTACCTCCATATGGGCTATTCCCCTCTGAGTTACATGCCTTTGCCCTGCCCCCAAGAGAATGTTAGTTCCCTAAGAACAGGAGGACTGTTCAGTTTTTTTCTTTGTAACCCTAGAACCTATAGCACAGTGACTTACATAGAGTAGATGCTTAATAAATGTTTGCTGAATCGATTAAATATTTATGTTGTATATATGTAACATAATAGATTTTTAAGCCGGTTAAGAGTCTATGCCCTCTCCTCTTAGCACCTTGTTTATTGATCTGCTGGGAGCAAGTTTGGATTCCATCATATGATGTTGTAGAAGTGTATGTTTTTCTGAAGTACCGCCTCACACCAATTAAAGTGATTAACGTGACAAAAAAGGAAAATGTTGGGTGTTGGAGGGGATGTGGGGAAACTGGGACAACTGCTGGTGGAGTTGTGAACTGATCCAACCATTCTGGAGAACAATATGGAACTGTGCCTGAAGAACTATAAAACTATGCATACCCTTTGATTCAGCAATAATACTGCTGGGTCTATATCACACAGACCTCCAAAAAAAGAAAAGGACCTATCTGTACAAAAATATTTATAGCAGCCCTTTTTGGGGTGGCTAAGAATTGAAAATTGAAGGGATACCCATCAGTTGGGGAATAGCTGAACAAGCTGTGGTATATGGTTGTAACAGAATATTATTGTGCTATAAGAAATGACAAGCAGGGTGATTTCAGAATAACCTGGAAAGACCTACATGAACTGATACATAGTGAAGTGAACAGAACCAGAAGAACGTTGTACACAGTAACAGCAATATTGTTCGATGAAGAATTGTGAATGACTTGGCTATTCTCAGCAATACAATGATCCAAGACAATCCCAAAGGACTAATGATGAAGCATGCTATCCACCTCCAGAGGAAGAAGTGATATTGATTGAATACAGACTGAATCATGCTATTTTTCACTTTCTTTCTTTTTTTTTCCTTTATTTGAATCTTCTTGTAAAAAATGCCTAATGTGGAAATGTTTTATATAATTGCACGTGTATAACCTGTATCTGATTGTTTACCATCTCAGGGAGGGAGAGAGGAGGAGGGATAGAGTTTGGAACTCAAAACTTTAAATGAAAATGCTAGAAGGTTAATAGAAATAAAAAGCTGTTTTGAGGTTATCTAATAATAGATAATCCACTACCTCAAAAAAAAAGAGAGAGAAAAAATTCATGTTTGTAATAGGAATTCTTTACAGAATAAAGTTGTTTCTTTAGTTTGGGGGCCTGTGTTAATCTGAACTCTTATTTTCTTTTGTCTGAAGGCATGTGAAGAGACCTAGAGCTGTATCCAGTCACTGTTCAGACATTCCTAGGGTTCATTCTTCTTGATAGGGAGTAGAAAAGGTTTTAGTTATATTCAGCAATGTGTTTTACTAAGTAATGGAAATACAATTAATGTTTGAGGAACCAAGATGACTTACCTAACTGATGAACACAAATAAAACTTATATTGGTTAAGTTTTAGCCTCATCCTTTGCCCTGTTTCTTAATCCTCTCACCAAAGCACCCCAAATACTTTTTCCAAAGCTCCTCAATAGAAGAAAAATGGATTGGCTTGAGTTTTCTCCTTTGATGTCACCCATCTTACCCTGAAGTAGATACTAATGAGTAAGTGACTTAATGACTTTAAGATGGTCAGGAAGTGAAAAACAAAGAATCAGTGTAACCAGACCCTGAATGATCACGTCTGGACTCTGGACTAATGCTGTCTTTTGGAAACCTAAATATTGGAGACTTTCTCTATAATTTTTTTTCAAGTATGAATATGAAAACTAACTATATTTCGGTTTGCCTTGGGACTACTGTTCTTTGAAGGTATTCAGATCTCAGGGAATCTTGGAAAGGAGCAGAAATTCTTGTTTTTGAAACTCAAGATGGGTAGAACACCCCCTTTTCTGAAGCTCTCTCCTCCTTCGGTGACAGTATTTTATCCTTACTCTCTTCCTATGTCCTTTTTTTCTCTTCTGATTCCTTTTTTGATGTGAATTCAACACTCATCAACAAATGAATATTTTAATATACAAAGAACTAAAAGGAGGCTTGTAGAAGAAACCATGAATTTCTGTTACACAGTTTATTTTTTAAGAGACATACATACATATGGGGGAAGAGTGGGGGGGTAGCTCAGTAGTCCAGTTTTACTACAGTTTTAAATAATTAAAACCTCTCTCTTTCTGTGTCTCTTCTCTCTCTCTCTCTCTCTCTCTCACACACACACACACACACACAAACACACACACACAGACACACACGGGACTGAATGTGAGGAAGTTCAGGTCAGCATCTTCTTTGCAACTTAGTCTTAGAGATTTTCCCAGAGCATTCAGAGGTCAAGTGACTTGCCCATTGTCACATAGCCGTTATATGTGTGTATACATGTATTTGTGTATATACACATGTTTTATACATATATATATACACACATATGTAAGTACATATGTAACAAGATGGTAACAGACTTACTCTGTGTCCCCTTCTGTATTTATTTTTTCTTCTGTGCATTTTTATTTGCTCTCATGTTCAGAATTACATCTTTAATCCTGACCTATATCCAAGCCTTCTGGTTGTTCAGTTGTTTCATTTGTGTCCCACTCTTTGTGACCGTATTTGAGGTTTTCTTGGCAGAAATACCCAAGTGCTTTGCATTTCCTTCTCCAGCTCATTTTCAGATGAGGAAACTGAGGCAAATAGGGTTAAGTGACTTGCCCAGGGTCACACAGCTCGGATATGTCTGAGACCAGATTTTAACTCTGGAAGATGAGTCTTCTGACTCTAGGCCTTGCATTCTATTCACTGCATCACCTAGCTGCCCATCTAAGACTTAGTCCAATATTTATGTTAGCCAACTGGGCAAGCTTAGAGAATTAAACTTTATTTTGTGACTTTTGCAAAAAGTAAAAATATCACTTTGATAACACTTTTCATTTCAATTCCATAGTATCACCCAAAAGTAAATATATAAATAAAAAAAATAAAATTGAAACAGTATTCTTCCCCTTCTAAATTTCTCAATTCAGTTACTAGGAAAGCATTCCTATTAAATATTCTCTCTGTGTCCCAGGCATAATACCTTGGAATTAGTTTAGTTTCTTCCTTGTCTTGAATTTTAATATTTAATAACCAATTTAGTTATTTTGTTGATGTGTTTCTTAGATGTGTTCCTTCTTGATTCCTACTGTCGCAGGGCCTTATCATCTTCTCAGTGTTGCTGCTGTAACAGATTCGTAACTGGTCTTCATATTACCCAGTTTTTTCTCCAGTCATTCCTATTTGATTATAGATAAAGATACAGTTAAAGTAATCATTAAGTGCATACTATGTGTATAAGGTTATCAGATAAAAATGTAGCTTTCAAGGAGGGCTCATTTTGGAATTTGGAAGACTTGGCTTTAAATCCTTGTCAACTAGTCACAACTCCAAAAGACTTAAATTAATAGTAACTTATTTTATTGCAAGAGAAAGCTGAAAAATGCATACTTGGTCTGCTGTTGTACGGAGTACAAAGAGGGCTAACAATGCAGGCAAAGACTTGGGTATTTAAGGATTACAGTGAAAAAGGTAGGTTACATGGGAGGAGTGGAAGACAATCTCCTCCCAAATGAGAGTGTTATGGGAGAAGGAAGTGAGTAGTAGGGGAGCAGGGGTAGAAGGGCTTGCGGACTGTTGGACCATGGAGGGAGGATGTTCTGCTTTTCTGAAAGGGTCCTAGCTGCACAGTTTATTAGTCTGGGCTAGTAGTCTGACTTCTGGCCGGAGTCAGGTTTGTAGCTAACTCTGCTTTAAAGGCACACTGAGTTCAATTGCCAAAAAAACCCAAAAGGTTAAAAAAAAGTTCAAGAGTCTTCATCTCTGGGAAATAGGACAACTCAAGAAAACAAGTTCAGGGGGCCCCTTCACGTGCCTCATCCACATAAATATATTTCTGAACAAGTCATTTGGCTTCTTGGTATCCTACAGGCAACTATGTAAGACTAAATTGAAGAACTGAATTATGGTCAGCATCAGGGAGAGTTTCCTTCCCTGGGAGTTCTCTGTGCCAAAGAAATCACATCTTCATACCCCCTGGCACCCCCCCCAAAAAAAAACCCCAAACCTGTCCTGATAATCAACATGGTTCTACTTCTTATCCCACATACTCCCAAAGAGGCACATTTCTGCCACTGAAGAACATTTATTTCCACTATTTTCCCCATTCACCTTCATTTGGAAATATCCTACTCATCCTTCAGAGTCCAGATTAAACATTACCTTCTTCATAAGCCTTTTCTAATGATTCCAGCTTACACCAATTTCACCATCCTCTGAACTCCTGTCATATGTACTGTCTTTGCTGAGTAGTCTAAAAGTACTAGGAGATACTCTGTAATTGTTTTGAGTGTTCATATATATTATCTCTCCCCAAAATAAGCCTTTTGAGGGCAGGGATTGTATTTCATTTGCTGATTTTATATTCATGGTGTTCTAGAGCAGTGCTGATTAAATAGATAAATAAATGCTTTTTGTTTTAAAAAAAATTGCTTCTTTTAACATTGAAATTTGATAAGTATTGATGTCTTTGTATCCTAAATAAACTTTGCCTCTCTCTTCTTTCCCAGAAATGCTCTTTTCAAATTACATTCAACTCTGTGAACGTGAAGAATTCTGACCAATCCTAGTCTTGATGCCACACCACTGCTCCAATGAATTTATACCACAAGCGGTAACAATGACCAGGCACCTGAAGATTAAAATGCCAACACCAAACCTTACCTTAACATCTCTGGTCTATACTGTTTCCTGACATCTTAATTATTATTCATCTTTTTTATTTTGTATAACCACTTCCTAATATTCTTAGTTTTTATTTTATTTTTATTTTTTGAAGTTTAGGCTTTGTCTTTGACTTTGTGTACAACTACCTGCTAATTATACCTGCTTTCTGATGAAATGATAGTGAACAAAGCCAGCCTCAGCTGTCAGGTGCTGTTCACTTGAACAGGTGCTGTTGTACAAAAAAAAAAAAAAAAGGAAAATCTTTGACTAATTTAGATAGGGGATTTTCCCCCCTTGACTCTTGTCAATTGAAATCTTACTGGAATAATTTACAGATTTTTCGGATTGAGGTCAACATACTGCCTAAGATAATATTACGAAGTAGGGTTGTCTTTTTTTTTTAAAGTTTCCTACATTTTGAAAAATTTTGGTCATATTTGAGAATTTCACTTGAGATCTGTTTTCTCTTGAGCCCTCTTAACTCTTCCATTCCACATGCTCTTTACTTCCATTGGCAAGTTAAGAGGCAGATTCTCCAGACTAGAAAGAGTTATGAAGGAGGCCCATTAGCACTGTTCTTAGAGACATTGTATTCCAGTGCAGATAATAATGCTCAGCTGGTTCTCAGACATGCAGTCTCCTAAAGCATTCCAGAAGAAGGAGGGAAGGAGAGAGAGACATTTTTTCTCTCCTGTTAAAAGATATAGGCAGCTTAAAATCTTAGTGCTTTTCTCTTAACAAGTCCAAATTTCAAGATTTTCCATTATTTGCACCCTTGTGTAGAATGCTTGCTTTTTATTAAACCTCATTGTCTGTGTGTTTAAAAAAAATGACCCTCTTTTGTTTCTGAGAAGGTAGATCTGTTTCAGATAGTGTGTCTGATGATTTATGCAGGTTTTAAAGGATGCTGAGGGAAAGGGATGGGTGCTGGGGTGGTTTTGTCGTGGTAAAAAGAAAGCTACACCATTCGAAGCTGTCGCCAGAGACAACAGAAAGGGGACTTGAGATTAACTATGTTGAAATTTCATTTTGTTTTTGTTGTTATTTTGTTTTGTTTTGTTTTTGGCTGTTCCTCTGTCTATAGTTACAATGCCAGATTAGATTTATAGCAGCTTGAAATTGTATTAAGTGATATTTTGCTCTCTGTAATACTGTTATAAAATAAAATTTGTTTATTCTCTAAATTTGTCATCTCTCTTAATCTAAAAGGTTTGGAAAGGAAAGAGTTGGCGTTTTTAATCACTTTCCCTGAAAATCCATCTTCTAGGGCTTGGAATTACTAAACCTTTGTCAAATCACCAGTTTCAAATAAGCCAAATTATAACTGCCTCTTAGAGCACCCACACTTAGTTAAGTTTGGTTAAATAATCTGCATTAATTTCCACTTGCTTCAGTGGACTGGGACTTTCCTTTCAGAAATAATTCTACCACTGAATCCTTCAATAACTGTTTTTTAATTACTTTGAAATGATTTCCAATGATCATCATCTAGGAAAGGGGATCAGCTAACCAGTTACTTCATAATAGATTGTTATACAAAGCCATTCCATAGTGGATCATGTGAAAAATGGTGGGTTCACCATAAATACTCGATTTTCTTTTCTCATTCTCATTGAGAACAGCTTTTCTCCTGCGTATCTTCCTTCCTATGTTGTATGCCTTGATTCTTTTAGGTAAATTCCCACAGTAGAACTAAACGGTCGGAGTATCCCTCGAGTTTTTTTTTTTAAATTGGTAGGCTGTCTGAGTGGAAGCAATTAATTTACTTAATTTCTTTTGGATTTAAAAGATTGAGTACTTCTTAGCATAATAAAAGATAACAAGGGAAAGATTTTATTGTGAATGCCACATTACTCTTTTCCATCATGAGTTAAGGTCAGCTTGGATATTTTGCATTGCTGTGAAATGCATCAAATGTCTCAACTTTTACTAAATTATTATTCCTTATGTTTTGGGGAGACTTGTAGTAGCAGTAGTAACAATAATATTAATAATAATAGCTGGCATTGGTGCTTCAAGGCTTACAAAATGCTTTATAAATATCTTGTTTTATCCTCAGAAAAATCCTGGGAAGGAGATGCTATTATCATGCTCATTTTACAGTTGAGGAAACTAAGGCAAACATAGACTAAGTGGTGTCGCAGAGTCATACAGCTAGTAAGTATCTGAGGCTTGATCTGAACTTGAGTCTTCCTGAAGCCTGGCCCAGTGCTTTATCAGTGGTGCCACCTAGCTGTCTATAGCCAAACATTTCCTTAATTTCTTTGAGTTTAAAGTCATTAAAAACCAAACCAAAACAACCAACCAACCCTCATTAAACAAGAATCCAGCTTCAGGTTCATCAAACCTGGAAAATGTGATGAGGCCTTAAGTCATATAAATTAAACTACCTCTAAGTGACTACCACTGAAGAAAATATTTGTAAAAGAAACTGGCTTCTGTTGGTCCCACTTGCAAGTATTTGTTTCATTGGTGTGAAGTGGACCTGCATATAGTAAATCCCATCATATATAGTGTGCTATATAAGCCTAGTTTTTATGCCCCCAATAAGATCAATAAGAATTAAATCAAAGCAATTAGCATATGGTTGTTTATGAAAATGCAGATCAAAAGCAGTGTTGATCATGGGTTAGAGCTGAAAGACTTTTAGCCCACCTCCTCATTTTGTTGGTGAGATGAGGCCCAGAGGCTTGCTCAAGGAAGTAGTAAGAGGTTTGCTCTCACAGGTGTAGGTATGAACTCCCATCTTATAACTTAAGATCCAATGGGCTCTTCACTGTCCCATGTTCCCTGTCCATGATACTGGTGATAACAGTACATACTCATGTCATAAAGTTTTTATTATTTCATTTGATCCTCACAATGTCACTATCACATATCTATATCTATAAATACATATATCTGTATTTTTAATGGTCTATAACAGCCTGAAAGATAAAATGGTGTAAAATATTTAGTCTCTGTAGTTTGGTATTCATTATTATGAATGGTTTTAGAATTTCCTTTTGATGTGACCTGATATTTCTCAAGATACAGCCCAGTAGCATTTAGTAATTAAAAACATGAAAATTATTTTTCTTTAAATTGATTTCTCTACTATTGTGTTGTACGAAATGATGAAGGAGATGGTTTCAGGAAAACCTGGCAAGACTTGCATGGGCTGATGTAAAGTGAGCAGAAACAGGAGAACAATTTATATAATGATAGGATACAATAAAGGAATATTATATATAATACAATACAGGGAAATACAATAAAGGAAAACTTAACTGATGAACCCAATGTCCAGTCAGAATTCCAGAGGAGTTGTGATGAAACATGATAGAGAAATGATGCAATCTAGGTTCTAGATGATGGGCAGAGAGATGGTATAGATTGAGGCATAATTTTATTTAGAAAAGGCCAATGCAGAAATTTGTTTTGCTTGTCTATGTATTTGTTACAAGAGTTTTCTTTTTCTTTTTCATTGGGAGCTAAGGTGAAAGAGGTAAGGTGGGTTTTTGTTAATTGGAAAAAATTAAAAAACAAACGCTGATTTCCCCATGTTTTTTAGGGGAATGAATTTTTCATTGTTAGCAACCAGGTGCGTAGTGCTATTTGGTCAATCTCTTCCACATTCTTATTTTTAAAAATTCCATGAAATACAAATTCATACCAAAAAGCAGTTAGTTTTACCACTATAAGTTGTTTTTTGAACATTGCATTCCGCTGTTGAGATATAATGTAGCACATTCTTTACATAAATGAAAATGTTGTTAATGACCCAGGTCAATGGGACTGATTGAACTCTGAAATATTTCTACAGTGGAAGGAATGGGCTTGAACTGGCCTAGGGAGACAAAGGAGCAGAGTAGAGCCCTGAAATTGGAGTCATAAAGGCCTGGGTTCAGAGTTCACATGTGACACTTACTGAGTGTGCAACCATAAACAAGTCATTTGACCTCCAAGCTTTGATAAGGCCATAAAACAGGTATAACACTAATAGTAAAGGTGGAACAAAGGTGGTTGTGAGGGTCAAATTAGATAATTTATATGAAAGTGCTTTGCAAACTTAAATACTGTATAAATTTCAGTTACCTAGGTACGCACTTTCACATCAAGGACACACACTTGCCAGACATCTGTTTCACCTTAGGATTGTTGTTTATGGCCGTAGGACAAAGCTCATTGGAAAATGCAGTAATGGAACCCATGATTTTATGGACGCTGTGGTTTAGCTGAGCCCAGTGAAAGTCAACAAGACAAGATATTATTGTTTCTCCTAAATCACTTAAGGGAGTCAAATGGTTGCCCTCTTGGCTATTAAAATCATAATGTGTGTTCAGTTATTTCTCACTCTTTATGAACCCATTTGGGGTTTTCTTGGCAAAGATACTAGAGTAGTTTGCCATTTCCAGCTCATTTTACAGATGAGGAAACTAAGGCAGAAGGGTTAAGTGATTTGCCCAGGATCACATGGCTAGTAAGAGTCTGAGGCCTGATATGAACTGAGGAAGAAGTCTTCCTGACTCCTAGTGTGATGCTGTATCCACTGTGCCACTTTGCTGCCCAAAATAGTAATAGCTTCTGTTTATATAGCACTGTGCAGTTTACAAAATGCTTTCCTCACAAATGATCCTCTGATGTAAATAATACAAGTACAAATAATACAAGTAAATAATACAATTTATCCTCATTTTACAAATGATGAAACCAAGGTTTAGAGACATAATAATAGCAAGTATTTAAACAGCCCTTTAAGTTTTGCAAAATATTTTAGAAATAATAATAACTATGGCTATTTTCTCAATTGATTATGTCATTTTATCCTTACAACCACCCTAGGAAGTAGGTGCTATTATCACCTTCATTTTATAGAAGAGGAAATTGAGGCAGACAGAAGATAAGGGACTTTCCCAGGACCACAAGGCTATTAAGTGTCTAAAACTAGATTTGAACTCAGTTCTTTGTGACTGTAGGTCCAGCATTCATTCCACTGTGACTGACACTTATCTGCTACATTAAGTGACCAAATGTAAAACCCAGGACTTCTAACTCTTGATTAAGAAATACTCTTCCACTACACCACAATCCTCTCATGAGATTGGGGATTAGGCACTGACTTTTGGTAGCTTTAGAAAGTTAGAAAATCTTATTGCGTAAGCATCCAATAATGTTTTCCTTTGAAGTGAAATGACGTTTTCAGCCCTGTCAATTTCTGGGCATTCGCTTACTTAAGGAAAATGCCATTATATAAATTCTGATGATCAATTCGCCATCCTGTTAGCATTACAGCACTAATGATGAGGGTAGGAAGCAGCAGGAGCTTGAGGAAGCATTATGAACATCCTAGTAATATCTGACATTGAAGTTTGAGGCATCAGAGAATTGGTTTTCAAGGCCCTTGCAGGCAGGCTTATTAAAAATATGATTACTGCCTTCACTGATAACCTTATTCTGTTAAAACCTTACAGAGTTAAATTAGGATTGTGTTATTTCCTGACTATGAGCCTCCATAGTTAACCTTAATGGCTTCTTAATTACACTTAGAATAGGCTGAAGGTCTCAACGTGGTCAGACTAATAGGTATAAATTAAGGAAGTTCAACTTCTTGATGAATAACAGGTAAATGTTTCAGAGACCATGTCCTGACTTAATTTCCTGTAACACTGAATCCATTAAAATTGAGGATATATCTATGCTGGACGTGAACTTGAAGCTTCTAAGTAGTAGTAATAAGATTAGGTTTGCCATAAGAGCTGAGGAAGATGAGCTCCAAAATGGTACTGTGAGCTTGAAGCATATTTTGTCACTTACTGTAGGAAGAAATCAATTCATTAAAAAAAGAAGAAGAAGAAGAACCTGGCAAATTAGCCATGAAAAAAAAAATGGAAGCCTACCTTTATATTACTTGCTTTCCTACACTCAAACTGGCCTTCCTACTATTCCTTATACACAATATTCTATCTCTTGACTGTGTTACATTCCTAAACCAATTTTTAGAATCCCCAGCTTCCATGACTAGTCATGAGAGGGGGAAGACAGGCCTACTTCTTGTTGTTGTTTGTGCTTCTTTCTCAAAGAGGACCATGACACTGGGAAGGTGATGTCATGACTTGTGCATGAATTAGATTTAAGTGAGGAAGGGCTGTGCAGAGTCACCAACCTCACTTTCTCTCCCTGAGCCATCTGGTCCAATGGCAAGATATAGATCAGGACAGTACATTGCTGATAGATCAATGAGTGAATACTACAATTGTCTAAAACAATTTGGAATTGCCTGGAGATACCACTAGTAGGCCTATATCCTAAAGAAGTCATTGCTAAGAAGAAAATTCCTACCTGCACCAAAATATTTGTAGCAACTCTTTTTTGTGGAGCAAAGTATTGGAAACAAAATAGACACCCAACAAATGGGGAATGGCTAAACCGAATGTGGTACATAAATATAATGGAATATTACTGTGCTGTAGTAAACTATTTGATGAATACAGAAAAGCATGGAAAAATTTACATGAACTGATGGAGAATAAAGTAGAGCTAACAAAAACAACCCTATGAATACAATGACAACAATGATGCAGATCAACAATCACAACCACAAAACAACCAAAAGAGAATGTTGCAAAATAGAAGAGAGATAAGAAGACACCTCCTCCCATCCCTTTGCAGAGATGGGAAGTCCACAGGTGTGTAACAAACATATTTTCATTTTTTTTTTTACTGTATTGATCAGTTTTGCTTACTTCGTCTCTTCCTCTTTTTTTTCTTTAAAAAGTTTTTTAGTTATATAGAATGGTTCTCTGGGAAATGGATACCTTTAGGAGGGTAAATTTAGGCAATATAAAAATCAAATATATCAACAAAAATTTATTTTTAAAAAAATGCTTGATTGATTCATTGATTAAAACATCTGACTTGCATTTCAGAAGTTGTTAGCCAAAGCAGTATTGGCCAAAATTAGGATAGAATTAGTTGGAACAATTGGTAGCTTTTGACACTGTGGAAAAGGGCTTTGAAGTACAGGCTGAAGAGCTTGAAATGATCTATTGAATATTAAGAAGACAATATGAATCTTTTAAAAGTGTAAATTGGCTGTCACTTGGGTGGCCACAAGGAGAAAGGGCATCTAGTGAGGAGTGGACCGATAGATGGACCCAATGAGGGAGAATGCATAAAGGGAAGTTCTATTATTCCCCGACCAACTGGATAGTCAGAGAAAAGTGCAAGACAGGGGGCAAGTGACATTCTTAGCATAGCCACAACCGCCATGATAGGAAATATCGGCACCGTGGAATGTGGAGGAGACTGCTCTGATTTAATTTATCGAGAAATAGTCTGTCTTGGGGATGCTGATGAGCCTAAAATTCGTGAGACTTTTTCCAGGTTATCCCAGGTCATTTTTAAAAATCTTTAAACAGTGGCTTGAAAATTTGGAAAGCACTTTGTGTGACCTCATCACTTCATCCAGAGAACATAAGAACTATGAACATCAGAGGCGACAGAAATGTATGTGTAGCTGCTCCCCCCCCCCATAATTTCCTCAATATGGTCCCTGTTTTGCATAATCGCACGTGGTGATTACTCTTTAGACTTATTTGCTTTTCATTGAAAAACTGGTATTTTGCTGCTTATGGTCCTGCAACAATAAAATACTTATGAACTGATTTCAGTAGGAATTGTTTTACTGTTACCTTGTTCAGTACGAACAAAAAAAAAGCCAGATGTCATTTGAAACCATATTGTTGAGCCTGTTGTTGGGAAAATACATTTAAAAGACTTCTGCCTCATCCCAGTGGCTGAGGTGTACCTTAACATATTTTCCTTGCTCAGTCAGAGGTGACAATTTGATATCGATATAACAAAGTTAAAGAATGGGCTTTCGTGGTTATAATTTATATTGGAAATAGAGTAACACCGATGGCTGGGCTACAGGTTTGCTGGCAGCTGCTTCGAATAGGAATAAGACGCTATCTTCCTTGCCTTCTGTTAACGGAAGCATTTTTAAATAAGCTGATTTCCATCAGGGACTAAAATGAGATCTTTCCCAGAACTGAAAGAATATTGCTATTCCTTCCATATGGCGTAAACACTGTTATTCTAAATAACCCCAGTCTGAAAGCCCCAGTAGATATTTTCATTGTAACCCAGCATTAATAAAACACAGAAATGAGTCTCTCCACTTTAACAGTGAGTTTTATATTATGCAAGAAGTGTAAATGGGGACTAAAAGCTCACTGGATATATTTGAAGAATGCACCAGAGAAAAAAAAAACATATTATGTGATTAAATACTCTTCAATCCCCTTCCTGCTCTAAAATTCTATGACTCCATCAGATGCTGTTGGTCTATAGTGAGGCTAGAGATTCCTCTTAAAAATAATATTCCCTCTCTTTTATAAAATTACCGTCATCCTGGGACCCAAAACCCTTGTGACCCATGTCACTGAAAACCATTTCAGAAACATAAATGACTTTCCCAACCAGTCTAATGAAAGATTCATTCATTGGACAGAGTTTGGTTTGTGTTGAGATTGACACTTGGTAATTAGAAAAATTGTGAAAAGCTCTTAATTCAACAAATTCAACTATCCCATCCTATTAAAAACCTATTATATATGCTAGGCACTCCTTTGCTGCCATATTCAGAATGTACCTTCCAAGTTTTCTATTTAAGAGGCAAAGCTTTAAATCTGTTTTCCTCTCATGGATACTGAAGGTGTCCTACTGCCTTTTCACCACCAATCCCCCAAATATGATAACCTCTCAGGTTCCCCCCACCCGACTTTAGGCTTCTGTGATTTGAGGTTGGATTACCACACACTGGAGACTGCAGTTAACCAAAGTGATCCGTTCACTGTTGAGAAATTTCATTTATTTTGAGGAATTGCTTTATTTTTTCACTATGTTGCTCTAATTTATAAAATCACACAAAGGAAGGAATACATGAAGCAGGATTGTAATAATACTATTGAAGGAGATAGATGTTATTTGTTAGAAGTTTAACACAGGAGAGGAAGCACCAGTCTGGCCTGGATGGGGTTGTTCAAGGAGTTCTTTCTGACCTTCTCATGTTTTGCAAGACATTTGATCTCGCTGCCACGTTTTCTTCACATGTAAAATCAAAGTAGTATCTTGTGCTTCTTTTAGATTATGTAAATATTAATTCAAACATGTGTATATGGTTTTTTTTTAAACCACACCATTGAGACTCTCCAGCTTGAATGGTATTCTGTAAATATTGTATATAATTACACTTGTCCCTGGAAGTTATAAAACCACCAAACTCAAATAGACTCATTCGATGTTTGCTTCCCTGAAGCCAAGTATTAAAAAAAGAGGGAGAATTCTTGTTAAAAATTCACACTGTATTTTAGTAAACCACTGTTGACGGTGAATCAGAAAAACTGTTGTTTAGCTGCATCTCACAGAAGATAAAATGAAGTGATGAGGCCCTACGGATGACAGTTGCTATTTATGTGCCGGATAGCATACAGGACAAACCTCTTACCATTTTGTTTCCCTCGAGGTTTTGTTTTATGTGCCTAGATATGAGCAATATGTTGCTGGTTATCTGCCAGCCCAGCGAATCCCTTTAAACTCATTTTGTTTTTGTGGCTGATCTCTGAATGTCGTATTGCTTCTTCCGTCTCTGGTACTGGAGATAGTCATCTCGGTTAATGTCTTGGGGATCAGAAGCCTGTGCCACTTCTGCATTAACTGTAGAGAGGGAATAGCCATTGTTACCTTGGAGAGAACAGAACGTGCTGGCTGATTCACAGACTTGAGTTGTTAATGACTAAGCAGATAGAATCCAGACACTGCTGGCCCCAAAGTGCCAGGTCAGAATTATGCCAATGCCTGGGTCTCCAGAGCGTGCTCAGGCTTATTATGCATCCTTAACATGCTGAAATGGAGAAATTGGTATGCCTTTTCTTTCCCTACTCTCCTCATTCCCTCCCCATCCTTTCCCAAAAGAAATTAGTCACATTTCTAAAGAATGGGCTTGATGAAATTACCAAAGACAAAAGAATTGCGGTCTGCTAATTGCATTTTGTGTTTGTTAAAATTCTTTGCTTCACCAAATGATATTTCATACTGCCTGTGCATGCTGCATTTGTTCAAAGCCAAGTTTCCCTTCTCTTTTAACCCTCAAAGAGCCCCTTAATCATTTTAAACTGGGCTCAAGTTCTCTGTCCTTCGGTTTAGTTGGGTCATCACAGACTACATTGAAACTGTTATCTCCACCAAGCCCTTTTGTCTTCTCAAGGCATCCATCAGAATCTTTCTCACTATTCACCTCCTCAAATGCATTTCACCTTTATCAGAGAATATTAAATAGCTTAAGGTTAATCTTACAGTCTAGGCTCAGGACAGAGTTGTTCTGCCCTTCAGCAGCCTATAGATAAAGACCAGAATTGCTGAAACTGCTGAAAAATATAAATAAATGGCTTTAAAAAAAAAAAAGGGATCCTAATAGGGCAGAGTTTGGTGGGCAATTTTTTTGAAGGCTCAAGTGTGTTTTTGAGTTTTAAAAATGGTTAATTTTTTTTCCTGATCTGGTTAATTAAGAAAGGCTTAGTGCAGGAAGAACCATCTAAGGTAAACCCTGAATAAAGGGGTAGGAAACAAATGGCAGATATTAGGGAGACTGTCCAAAGAATGAGACAATCTGGAAGAAAGAGCTAAGGATGAAATGGAAGAACAGGGTCAAGGGCATCTGGTTAATCAATCATTTACAAAGCAATGATACATACTCAGCAAAATTTAAAGTCTTTTCAAAGGCAAAGGGGTAGAAAGTATTGTTGCATGTAGGGAACTAAAAATAGGGCTAATCTAGCTAGAATGTGGAACATAGAAAGGAAACTAATGTTCATTAAACCAGCAAAGGCAGGCTGGAGCCATATTGGGAAGGACTTTACATGCAAAACAGAGGGGTTTATATTTTATCCTAGAGGCAAATGGGAACTATTGGAGCTTCTTAAGAAGAAAAGAAATATATTTTTTTCCCTTTTGTTCTGTTTCTTTTTTTACAACATGATTAATGTGGAAATATGTTTAACATGATTGCATGTGTGTAACCTCTACCAGATTGCTTGCTGTCTTGGGGAAGGGAGAGGAGAAAGAGGAAGGGAAAATTTTTGAACTCAAAATCTTACAAAAAATGAACGTTGAAAACTATCTTTACATCTAATTGGAAAAAAATAAAATGTTTACATAAAAAAGGAGAGAAGTAATATAATCAGACTTACTCTTTAGGAATATTAATTCCTAAATATGTGTGTATACACACATGCACATGCACACATATATACATACATGCATAGTCATATCTATATGTGTGTATACATAATATATGTATATATAACATGTATATATATGTGTGTGTGTATATATATATATATATACATACATACATATACACACTATTTGTTGTTTATTCATTCGCTCGTGTCCAACTCTTCATGACCCTGTGGACCATACTGACCGTGGGGTTTTCTTAGGAGAGATACTGAAGTAGTTTGCCATATCTTTCTCCAATAGATTAAGGCAAACAGAGGAGTGACTTGTCCAGGATCACACACACACACTCCATATATGCTATAGAAATATTAACAGTATATGAATGTAACAGAAAATTATTGTGCCATAATTAAAATGAAATGAACAGTTTCAGAAGGAAAAAGAGAAGATCTCTAATTTCTATATGAACTGATACAGAACAAAGTGAGTTGAACCAGGAGAACAACTTATACAATGACATTCGAAAGAAAAACAATTTTGAAAGATTTTAGAGCCCTGATTAATGTAATGATAAGTCCACAAGTCCAGAAGACTCAAGATGAAACATGCTACTTACCTCCTGCCAGAGAAGTGAAGAACTGAAAATGGAAAAAGACGTATATTTTCAGGCATGGCCAATATTATTTTGCTGGGCTATGCATGTTTATGATAAGGGTTTTAGTTTTTCTTTTTATGTTTTGTTTTGATCAAAGGGGGCAGTGGTATTATGAATACTTTTAATTTTTTTTTTGAAGAAAGGTGATGGAGGCCAGAACTGGGGTAGAATTTGCATAAATGGAAAGAAAGGGAATATAGGTATTGTAGAAGTAAGAACTACAAGGGTTGGCAACTGATGGAAGGGGGGTTGGGCAGGACAAGGGAGGAGAGACAGCATAGAGGAAACAGTCAAGGGTGACTCCAAAGATAAAATTTTAACATCTCTTCCTGCTCTCTTTGATTTTATAAATACAAGAAGAGGCTTGAAGCCTTCTTGGTCTGTACATGAAATCACCAATCTAGACACTGGGGACTAAAAAAAGGAGAAAAGAGGAATGTAGCATAAAAATGTTAATTTCCAAACATAAAGGCCCTTTGTAAATCACAATGTCAGAAAAAACACCTCACTGTGGAATCTCATCTTCTCATTAGCAAATTAAAATGGATTCATCTTCAAGCCAGGCATAGAATCACTCCCTTCCTTCCATCTTCCTTATAATCAATCTGTTAGGACACAGAGGTTGTCCAATTCATCTCAACCTAATAATTTTGTTCCTACCCAGCAAGGGGCTAAGCAACGTGAAAGATTAAATAAGAAGACAGCCCTGTCCAGGTCCTGTTCAGCTTTAAATCTATTATTTTTTTAAAAAACATTTAAATCTTTATTATTATTATTTTTGCTTAGGCAATCAGGGTTAAGTGACTTGCCCAGGGTCACACAGCTACTAAGTGTCAAGTATTTGAGGCCAGATTTGAATTCAGGTCTTCCTGGCTCCAAGACAGGAGCTCTATCCACTGTACCACCTAGCTGCCCCCTAAAGCTATGATTTTATGATCCTGTTGTTGATTGGTGACTGATTGAAGTGCCTGGAGAAGCAAAAAGAGCTTTGAACTTAAAGATGAGAAAACCAGCCTAATTAATCATTTAATCTTAGGGCCTCTTGTTCTTCTATTAAAATGAGGAAATTCAACAATATCTTTAAAGATTCTTCCATCTCTGGCATTTTTGTGTTTTGGGGAGTTTATTCTTAGAACTTAACATAGTACCTGGTACATAATAGGCACTTAATAAATGTTTATTGAGTGATTGATGGATTCCAAGGCAACAGATATGGAATTATAAGATGGTGTAGCACAAACTGGAAGTGTAAGTGCTAAGGAATTCAAAACCTAGGCAGCTTAGGGAAAGGCACAAGGGTAGGAAACGGAATGGGATGCATAGGGACAAGATAGTAAGCCAGATAAAGTCTAAAGATGTCAACAAATCTTTAGGTAGTAGTTATTTTACAACCAATCAGCCTTGTGCTAGATAGATGCTGTCAGAGAGACAGGAGAAGAAAATATAGTCTCTGCCTTTGAAGAACTTTGTCATGGAAACATGACTTATATGCATGATATATAATCAAAGAGCTATACAACAGAGTATGTGCAATCTTGTATATGTTCTACATAGTACATTTTATATTTAATATCAATATAGTGTTTACTGTATTAGCATATATACCTAGTCAATGTAGTACATTGTATTATGGTACTAGATACTATTCTATAGTATACTATATAGGTGCATGCATACATATATATGTATATATACACAGGTATATATGTTGACACATGTATACACATATGTGTATGTATGTCAACATGTGTGCACACATGTGTATACACACACATCAAGATAAAATCAACAGGCCTTGGCCTGGGTTACTGGAAAAATGGTGTCTTCAATAGTAATGGGGAAGTTGGGAAAAGGGGAGAGTTTTGGGGAAAATATAACAAGTTCAGTTTAGACAGTGTTAAACATGCTGACTTTAAGATATCCATGGGACACGTATAGGGGTTTACCTTGGCAAAGAGAAGGGCCATCTCATCATGTGAAGCAGGGGTGAAAGAGGAGGTAGTGGCAGAAGGCATCTGGGAGATATGAGATGAAGGAGGTGGGGATGAATGGCCTCATTTTTTTCAATAAAACAGGAGGCAAAGTTCTCATCTGACAGGGTTTGGGAAAGGGGAGATGTGAGAAGGTTGAGAATGGATGAAGAGATTTGCAAGAGCTCCTGCTGTGAGCAGGATGGTGAGTTAATTAGGGAAATATAAAAGGATTGGCTTTCAGCAATGCAGACCCAGTTGAGGTTATGTAACATAAATTTATTGTGGACCCAGTCAGCATATTTCTGTGATTTTCTCCATAGAGGTTGACCTTAGGGTGGATTAGTTGGACTCAGAGATTTGGGTCGTTCAGGTGAGGAGCCAGTTTTGGGGTATCTGAAGGAATGGGTTTACTCTCTTTCCTCTAATGCAGGAGATGGGGTTGACCTGGAGACCAGGTGTATATACATACATACATTTGGCATGTATATAATGTGCACATATGCGATGTACTATGTGAACATAATTCACTGTGTGTATAATATGTAATGTGTACTTAGGTGATATGTGTATCCATGTAATGTGCGATGCATAATATGTAATATGTACTATATACATATATATATATATATATATATACGTGCATGTACACACATTATGTGTATATACATATATTACATATGTATGTAGGATATACTATGTAGAATGAGTATTATAGTATACTACTACAGAAATTTCCATTATCATTTTCTTTTAGAAAATCATTATGGTAGAGGATGAAAACATAAATTTTATTCAAAAATTCATAATAGCTATACAAACCCAAAAGAATTTTTAAGTAGTTGGGGTAGTATTTAATTCTGACCATTCCAAGTGTTAAAAAAAATATTCCTACTACAAATGGTATAAGTGATTTGGTCATATCAGGTACATAGTTATGTGTTTTGTTTTGGGTTTTAAATGAAATATTTCTTTTGCAAACAAGGAAATTAGAGAAAAGGAATATTAATTTTGCAAAGTATGGTTGATGTTTGAAGAGGGAGAGACAAACTGGAGATATCAATTAAGAAAGAACAATTCAGGACAATTCTAATTTTTTTTTTTTTGCTTTTTGGTGAGTCAGTTGGGGTTAAGTGACTTGCTAAGGGTCACACAGCTAGTGAGTATCATGTGTCTAAGGTCAGATTTGAACTCACCACCTAGCTGCCCTTGACAATTCTAATTTTTAAAAGTTATTTTCTTCAATGAGATTGTGTAGCTCTATTTCCATTTAGCCAATTCTGCTTTTTAAGATGTTATTTTCTTCAGTATTTTTTGTGCCTCTTATATTAAGCTGTTGATTGTCTTTTCATAATTTTCTTCCTTTGCTTTCATTGCTTTATGTAATTTTTCCTCTACCACCCTTATGTGATTTTAAAAAATAATTTTTAGTTCTTCCAAGGATTCTTGTTGAGCTTGTGTCCAATTCACATTTTTTCCCTCTTTGAGGCTTTGCTTATACCTGTTTTAACTTTACTGTCTTCTTCTGAGTTTGTGTCTTGTTCTTCCCTGTCACCATAGCTGCTTTTTATGATCAGGTTCTTTTTTTTGTTGTTATTTCATTTTTCTACTCTATTTATTGATTTTGAACTTCATGCTAATGCTGGGCTCTGCTCCCTGTGTGTGAGGTGGAGGGGCACTGTCTCAAGCTTCAGACTTTTTCTCACTGGTGTTTTCAGAGCTAGTTCTGTTGCATGATCTGGGGAGAGGTATGGCCAGTACTCTCCTGGTCTATGCTCTGGTCCTTACCCAGGAAGGACCACTGATCCCTTGGGACTGTAATTGATACTGCCCTTCAAAGTCCATGATCCCTTGTGACCAGAATTGATATTTCCCTCCAGAGCTTTCACTCCCTCTTGACTAAAAGTGCTCCTTCCTATGGACTATGACCCAGAAATGGGGATGGACAATGAAGCTGTCAAACAGTTGCCCTTCAGGACTTCCACTTCTTTTTGACTGAAAATTCTTCTCACTGCTCTTGAGCTATAATTCAGAAATGGGTATAAACAATGGAGTTGCCAAACAGCATTTGGTTTTATGTCCAGTGCTAGCACAGGGATCCCCTATATTCTCTTTCTGGCCACTTGCCAGGTCCCTTTATCATCCCTGGCTTGGGAGCTTCTGAAGCTGCTAGTGCACTACCTGGTCCTACTACTGATGTTTCATCCACTCCAGGCCAGCCTCCACTCTCATGTCACAGATCTCTCTTTCCAAACTCTAAGTTGTCTTGAGCTGGAAGAATGACCCACTCTGACCTTTTGTTGGCTCTGCCACTCCAGAATTGGATTTGAGGAGTTATTTTAAAGTTGTTTGGAGGGTAATATTGGAAGGACTCTACTCCACCATCATGGCTCTACCCTTGATTCTTTATTAAACTTAAAAGCAGGTGTTTTGATTTTTTTAAAATCAAGATCTTAGAGGTTCCTAGGCCAGAGTTGACAGCCCACTAAAGGTTTAGCAATCTTGGGAGCATTAGGAAAGTGTTGTTATTAATTATCTCTGTTTTATAGATGAGGAAACTGAACAGACAGAAGCTAAATGACTTGCCCAGCATCAGACAGTTAGTTTCTGAGAATAGATTTTGACTCAGGTGTTCCTGACTTGAGATGCTGCTCTTTCAACACCGTGTTACCTCACTGCCTCTAGGTGCTTTTAGGCAGCAGAATAGCATCTAATAGGGAAAGAATGAAATTTAGTCTCCTTTAGAAAGGAGACAGAAGGTAATAGGATCAAAAATACCTCTTGATCAGAAACTGGAGAAAAAAGGAAAGTACAGGGATTTTGATCTGTAAACTAGGAAACAAAAGGAAATGGCTTCTAAGTAAGGTATGAAGTAACATCCTATGCTGAGTAGGAGAGATTGGAAAGATGGTGTGGAAAGCTTGAGAAAATAGACCATATGGGAAAGGTAATAACGAATTAAAGGAGAATAAAAAGACCAACTTGTGTGTTGTGAGGGACCAGAAGTAACATG